ATTTTTCATTTAACTATTAAATTGTCAGAATCCAAAACTTGCATTTTATATATACAATAGTGGGTAATCCAAGAATTATAAAAAAAAAATGTGTCCAAGAATATATAATATATGAGAAATAAATATTATTCACTCAAAGAAATTGTTGAAGTGACACCTATAGAATTCATTTTCATATTTCCAGTGGAATGTCAATACAATCTTATGTCAAAATCTGCTTTATAATTCAAAAGAAGTAGAATTTTAAAACAATACGCACATGATCCCATATTGGAGAAGGAATATTAACTATGATTCTGAATTTAATATGTGTATCTACATGAAATGTGTTAAATCTTTAGTAACATTTACAGATTTGTTGTACACAAAAAATCAGATGAATTACAAGGTTATTTGTAGTCAAGACGTGGTTCTGAAGGTGTTGTGCATGTGAAGAAAAGGGATAAGTTTGTACATCATAGTCTGCATATTGTATTTACATAACATGTGGAAGCTCTGAAATTCACATCTACATTTTTTTTTTTTGTTTAGTATCCCTGTAAAATGTACCAAGTATTTACTTTCCTCTTCAATGAAATGTTGCTAAATCAGCTGTTGATAACACTGACATCAAATACATAATACTATGTTGAATGACACTGCATAAAAAGTCGTGGCTTGTGCAGTTTGACATCCACCCTTGTGCATAGGGTTAACTAGCAACATTTACACTATCATGGTGTTATGGGACTGCAGTACTACATGATTAATTATTAGTTTTGGATAACATCCAACAGACATGGTGTTGACATAGTAAACGAACAACAAGAATGTCTCCACATGAAAATGACATTGAAAATTAATTTAATTTCCATGGCATTGTTGTGTTTTCATGTATCATGCAAAACTTTTCGTTAAACACCTAACTGATTGTCTTTACACCTAAGTGACTGCTATGCACAGTATATTAAACTGAAAAGAAATTCAAAATTTAGTGACATAAAACACACAATGAATAAGAATGTTGAAAAAAGAGGGACTTTAATCGTTTTTTTACTCATTTCAAGTTTTTTAAAATATATATATATATTTAAAATTCAATATCTATAATAAAAGTAATTTATCACAATTTCACATAAAATTGGTTAATTTTTTTACAAACTTTTGGTTTAGGAATATATGGCTGGACGGTGGAAATACTGTAAATTATTGGCTTTTATCTGATTGTTTTGACATACACTTGCTTATTGAACAAAATAAAAAAGTTTAATTTTGTAGTTAGTTAGTTTGATGAATGTGTTTTTTAAAAGCAGACTTATGATTGTGCTTTGGAAGTGTCTGATGTCAGACAGGGATAAGCCAACAATAAACCATAAAATTGATAAAGTTTGTGTTAACAATTATCTAAAAACTGACAAATAGATGATTTTTTTCCACCTCATTGCCAATTTTTAAAGGAATTTAACCTGTTTGATGAGATGTAAAAACAAATATCTACCTTAAAATGTTTATATATCTTTAAGCTTACAAAGGTATCGTGATGTATAAAATTATGATCTACATTTTTATACATATGGTATAATTTGAATATTTGTTTAGTGTAATCTTGATCAGGAAACAAGTTATTAGAAAAAACTTGACGATTCAATTACGGAAACTTGTGCGATAAATTTAAAAAATAAAAACAAGATCAACAAGCTACTGAAACATGTAGTCTTTTTAATTTTGGCTAGTTGCTAAATAAAATTTGATTGTGCACTTTAAACGTCGATTTTGTTTTTATTTAAAAAAAAAACTTGCTCATATTTTAGCGTGATGTTTGTCGAAAAATTATAATCAATATATATATGTGGTTCAATTTTTAACATCAATTCGATGTTCATGGAGCGAGTGTGACTCAGTGGTTAGTGTGCCTGACTATGAATCTACGAGTACGCATTCACAACCTGTTAGTGCAAAATAAAGAAGAAAAAAAGGCAAGCTCCACACTTTTATGTCGTGGGTGCGTTATAAAAGCCCCCCAGTGGCACAGCGGTATGTCTGCGGACTTACCACGCTAGAAACCGGGTTTCGATACCCGTCGTGGGCAGAGCACAGATAGCCCATTGTGTAGCTTTGTGCTCAATTTCAAACAAGAACATAGTTATAAAAAAATGTCAAATCCCACCTTTCGCGAGACTAGAGTTGGCAGTTGGTGAAGTTTATTAACTGCCTTCCCTGTAGTTTATCAGTTCGAAATTGGGACTGTTCTGCATGGATATCCAAAAAGAAACAATTGATTATGCATATGTAGTAACCATGATGGTACTACCTAGAAGTGTGAATGTTTTATATTAGACCAGTAACAAACTAGTAAGGTGAACATTACCCGAATATAATGTAGTTATAATGATAAATTTTGAAGATTAATTTAATGGAAATTAACTTAAGTATGATGAAAATGTAGTAGGATAAACCACAAACAATACTAATTTAATCACTCTAAAGACAAATTATTTATTCAAAAGTTTGAACAAATGTGACTGAGATATATTTAATAAATTGTATAATTAATGTTCAAAAACGTATTTAAGAAGGGTAATGACTTATTTTGGCTCTGGATAGCGATCTGTGTATAAGTTTAATGAGGTTAAATAAGTGATAATGAAATATGTTTTTGTTTTTTTGAGTCTACTAAAAATGTATCCCAATGAGACAGCAGTAAGTCTACAATGTTACAACGCTAAAATCCGGATTTCATTCTCAGTAATGGAAACAGCAGATAGCCCGTTCTTGGTCCGATTGAAGCACCATATGCACACCAAATCTTGAAAACATTGTTGAGGGGTTCCTTTGCAAAGGTTTCTGGTTAAGACCATCATATGCTTCTATGGCCTGGCATGGCCAGGTGGATAAGGCGCTCGACTCACAATCTGAGGGTCGCGGGTTCGAATCCGCATCCCACCAAACATGCTCGCCCTTTCAGCCGTGGGGGCGTTATAATGTGACGGTCAATCCCACT